CCTTCTCCTTCTCCTTCTCCTTCTCCTTCTCCTTCTCCTTCTCCTTCTCCTTCTCCTTCTCCTTCTCCTTCTCCTTCTCCTTCTCCCTCTTCTTTTTTAATGTATTTGGTTGTTGCTGGGTCTCACTAGCAGCTCAGATAGACTCATGGCGATCCTCCTGCTTTCAGCCTCCCCAGTGCTGGGATACAAGCTTGCAGGGTTGGAGGCAGGGCTGGCACGGCGTGTAGCGCCAGGGATCAGAACTTGGTCCGTGCACTTGCCTAAGCTTGCCCAAGCACGTGCTGTAGTCTGCCTAGCTACCTCGCCAGCCCTGAGTTTAGTCTTTAATATACTATTTTGCTGCTTTCACAAGAGCAAATCTTTTGCTTTTTCTCTTATACATTATTCTGTGTGGTCCTGGAAGTATCATCACAAACATAAACCAGTGTAACAAAGTAAGAATAAGCCACAAACACACTGACACAGCCTTGCCAACTGATTTTCACGGAAACAGCAAAGATAAGCAAATGGGGAATGGAATTTTCATAGTTTTTAAAAATGAAAACCTATTCACAAATATGTATAGGCAAATGTTCAGAATCATCCAAAATGGAAGACAACTTATATATTAATTGACTAATAAATTAATGAGCTAAAGGTGCTACATCTATGAATTGCACTGCAATTCAGAAGTAAAAACAGCAGGTCCAGGAACCCCCAAAGCACCATGATCCAGGGGAAGCCACTGTCAGGGGCTGCTTCTGTTATGACTGCTCAACACAGCAGGCTGCATGAAGCAGGAAGGAGAGCAGAGACTGCCCAACGTGGGTAGGAGAATGACATGGAGCAGCACAGTGGCCTTGTGGCCTGGGGCAACCCATGTCCAACAGGCTCTTGTGGTACTAGGACCACATGCCCTGTTCAAAACCCAAGCCATGCATGTCCAAAGGCTTAACTTCAGGACTGCAAGTTATATCTCAGTCTGACTATTACAGTGGAAATATTTTACTTGGTTTTTCTAAAAGTTATTCCAGGTAAATACCTGCATACATTGTACTTGACAATACTAGCAGCAAATAGAATTTGTCATCACTTGGAAACCACTCAGACGTGTGTCAACAAAGGAATGGAGAATAACTGTGGTACACGTGTAGGGAGAATGCTACATAGTTACAGCAATAAAATGACCTGCTATCACACCACGTCATGTGGCTGAAAGTGGACACAGAGCCATAATCAAAAAAGCCAGGAGCTACAAGAGTGGAAATGGGAGGGCCGGGGAGATGGCTCAGTGGAATAAGCACTTCCCTGGCAAGCACAAGGGCCTGAGGGCAATCCCTGGTCCCACCAAAAAAAAAAAAAAAAAGAGTAGAAATGGTGAGATGCAGGGTGTGGCTATGCAGGATGAGAAGCAGCGCAACACCCCTGCATCTTGACTTGGGGGTGTGTGTGGGTGGGTGGGTGTCGCTGTTGCTGAAGCTGGCACAGCTAAGCACTCTGTAATACAGTGCTGGGCCTCAGCAAAACACCAGACACAGGAAATGCCCCATGCCTCTGCTGGCCCTACAGAGGACAGCACGTGCCGCTCGGAGCACGATCCTATCCGGTTCTCAGCTCTTCTCAACCACCTCAGCCTGCAGGGCCACAGGCAGAGGCCAGAGGAAGACCAGGATCACGTCAGGAGTGGAGGAGCAGAGTGGGCAGGCTGAGCTGCTCGAGGGCCCCGCCCCTGCTCCAGAGCACAGAAGATCTATTAAAACAGAGGCTAATCTGCTCTTAAGGTGGATCAAATAACTGCCCTCTGGGGAGTCAGAAAGCAGTAAGAATTCTTATTCAATAAAATCATAACTAGCCATGAGATGCAAACCACTGCATGGTGGTTATACATTGTTAGTCAAGTATGCACTTTTGCCAAATCCCAGAAAAATCTAGGTACTATCTGATTAAAAACAGTATTAAAATTGATGTATTGATAAAATATAAAAGTACTGTTGTCATGCTGTTCTATAAGGAATTTCAAGCAGTCATGTTTCTACTTGACTCCGGCCATTATAAGTAATCATGGAGAATGTCATAATTTAAACTTATGAATATGTGACATTTATAGCTTATGAATAACAAAGCTTTTACTAGACATGAACATGAAATGTCAGAAGTAATTATAAAGGCTTGTAACTGCCAACTAACATGAGCAAGGAACAGAAAGAATGCCATAAAATATTTCAACATCTATAAAGGTGAAAACAAGTTATTTTTTAACAAGTACATACTTAACTCTAGTTCCAAACTTAAAAAGAGAGAATTCCTTATTTTACCTAAAAAATGCCCAAAATACACTGTTCTTCAATGGCTACAGAATACTGATCTACTAACCAAAGAAGAATCCTGACCTGTCTCCACGTGGACCCTAATCTATACATTTATAGACCCAGAACAACATACACAGGTACTTCGGATGGAAATGGCAAATTCCACTCTCATAAATGAACAGGGACCAGGGGCATCTATAACAATCTCAAACACATGATACTTAGATAAGCCCCAGATCCTGTGAAAAGTTGCCAAAATATGTCACTAATGGCCACATACACTTCTAAAAAAAGTTCACTATCACGTAACTGAAAATAGCTCCCAATTCTCTGGGCTGCAGGAATCCTGCTAAATTTAGCTGGGCCTGCGCTCCGCTCCGCAGCAGCAGCAGCGGGACACTGCCTCTGCAGTGCCTCAGGCCTTATCTCACTCCCCTTCACCTGCCTTTGTCCCGGGCTGATCAGCACTCACAACCTGTCAAATGGCACAGCACGTCTTCCTCTGGTTCCTGGAATCAGCTATCTGCAATGGTACTCTACAAGTACTCTTTGGTTAGAAGAACCATGGTAACTCACCCACCAAGTCAATACATTCGCAAAGCTTAATAATGCAGAAGAATGAAAAATAAACTACAAATAACACAGAGATTAAAAAGTTTTATTGACTAAAAAATTATATTGTTATTATTCAAAGCATTATGCATTAAATAGAAAATACGCAAAACTAAGTCCATGTAATTATTTGAAAAATACACTGCTGCATATTTTCTAACCAAAAAAGGCAACCAAAAACTAAACACACATTAAAAACATTCTATTAATAACTCTTTCCTCAGGGTGACCCAATGTAAGATGAAGTATACATCTTGACCTTCAAAATTTAAATTATAGAAAGAATTATATTTTAAGTTTTATTATTTCTTTTACTTTCATGGTTAAAGATTCCGGAAAAAATGATTGAAAGAAACCATGATTAAAATAAACCAACAAGGGAAATTCCAATATATTATATCTAA